TTCCCAAAATTCCCAGGATCTCCCTTGGCTCTGGAGCATTCCCAGAGTATTGGGAGAGGCCTGGAATGTCCCGGGGGGGGCTCTGGAGTGGGGGGCATCTCAGGCCGCATCCCGCTCGCTTCCCGTATTCCCGTATATTAACACCCAGATCCCAGTTTTCACCCCTATTTCCCACCTCCCTAACATCTGGATCGCTCCAAAAAATTCCTAGGATTTCTTCAGGCTCAGCGGCATTCCCAGAATATTGGGATATTCCCAGAATATCCCATGGGGTGGCTCCAGAAAAAAAAAAAGACATTTCTTACTAACAATAGACCCAATAAAGCCCCTGGATCCAGGGGAAGTCCTTATAAAGAGGTTCTTTGGTGATCCCAGGAACGCCGCTGGATCGGGAATGCCAGCACATCCCACCTGACAGTCAATCTGCCTCCAAATAATTGTTTTTTCCCCAAAATTTTCTTCTTAACGACCACATCGGATTCCCTAAATCCGATCACAAGTCAGATCTCTGAAGCCACAAGCGGAGCGATCCGGCAGCTCCCGGAAAAACGCCAGGATTGGAGCATTCCGGAACCGGACTCGCGTCTCCAGCTGCACTTTCACCTCCGCTTTTCTCTCCAAATTGGGCGGATTTTGCCATATTTGGGTCCGGATCAGGCAAGGATGGATCCGGAGGATGCGCGCACAGGATTTCCCACAAGTTTTCCTGTTTGGAAAAAGCTCGGGAATCTCCAAAATGGGGCATTCCATAAGGATCGACGGAAGCCAACGACCATCTGGAGCCGGGAAGGGCTTAAGCAGAGGCACCAGATGGGCCTCGCTCCGGCTCCCGGGATGAAATTCCCCCTTTCAAGCTGGGAATCGCTTCTGGAATGATCCCCTGGGATGCTGTGCCGAAATGCTGGGAAAATGTCCCAAAATGGGATATGCGACGGGCAAAAAGGTGACATTTCCACCTGGAAAAGGGGCTTGATCCCGATATTTGGAGCGAGGTGGCGAAAGCCGGATCCAGCCCCGGATAATCTTGCGCTTTTGGAAGTCGCAGTTCCCGGGATCCCATCCAAGAGCAGGATCCGCTCCCAGAGATCCTGAGGATTCCCCAGGCTCTGCGGGATAACCAGAGCCACTATGGGAGGCAATTCCCAAAGGATTGGGAGCCGGAGACGCTCTCCTATCTAGCAGCTTCGGAAGATGCGTGGAAAAGGGGAGGGATCGGGAGCATCCGGTTCCTCCGCAGTCAGATCCCAACTCCTCCTCTTCCCCGATCCAGGAGAGCACGGAAAAACATTCCAAAGTTCTCCGGAATCTCAGCTTGAACCAAAGGGTTTCGCTCCAAAGGGGCCACTCCAGATCCCAGCGGAGGCTGACGCGGATCAATCATTCCGGGCTTGGAAAAGCTCTATCCGGATGGCGACTTTAACCGGGAAGCCAATGGCTCCGGCTTCTCCCTCACACACGGATTCGGCTCCGGTTAGAGAGGAGCAACAAAAAAAACTGTGGAATTTTTCCAGATTTCTCCTCAAAGCTAATTCCCAGCATGGAAAAATCCCTAGTTCTCCACACAAAGCAGATTGTTCCTCAGGTTTTCTCCAGGAGCTGCTCTCCCAAATCCTCACGGAAAATTATTGGAATTTCTCCAGCTAAAACTCACCCAGGGCACCCCCAGATCCATCATTCCGGCGTTTCCGCACGCAGCTCCCAGAAGAACGACCCGGATTCACCCGGCACAATCCCACTCAATTCCAATGGAGCGGCATTTTTCCCACCCCATTCCCTCCCCTTGATTTAATCATGTGGCTGAAGACAAAAATTCTGCAAAAATTCCCATTTGGATACCAAAAACGCAGCATTCCAATGGATAAAATTCCCTTAAGGATCCCTGTCGGCCTCTTCCTGGTATCCCAAGCACCAAGGTGGGAAATAAATTGAAAAGGAACCGGAAAATGTCGGATTTGAGCGTAGAATCAGGAAAAAAAGGGAAGGAACCCAAAAAGCAAGAGGGAATTAGAAGAGAATTGGGCTCGGATCTGGTTGGGAAAAGGGACGAGGGAAAAGGCAGATGGGAAAAGCGATGAGCTGGGAAATCCATCTGGAAAATGGGAACGCTGAGATCATAAATACAGATGTAAATTTAAAATGCAGATGTAGCAAACCTAGGGAAAAGCGGGAGATGGGATGGCAACTTTTCCCATGGAATTTTACGCCGTTGTGGATGCAGCACTTCCCAAACCTCCACTGTGACCGGGAAAAGGGAAGGATTCCCCTTTATCGGCCGCCATTCGCGAACGCGCTGTAGCTATCCTGGGAGAAAATGGGATTCATGGTGGGATTCTCCCTTTTTTTGGGGGATGCAGATGCTGGCGGGAGGATGGAAAGCGCAAATCCAGCACCAATTAGCCAAGATTTTAGGGAAAAATGCTCCGGATGGGGCTGGTGTGGAGCAGTTTATGGCATCCCACGCTCCGCTGCTGTGGGAATTGCGGCTCTCCAAGCGGGATGGGAGTCACAGAGAGGGGGGAAAAGGAGTGGAGAATCGGGAAGAG